AAATGACCAGATTACGCTCTAGCGGATGCTCGCAGGATACTCGAGAAAACAGCCAATTATGCTTTTATATGCTTCACCAAAAGACCGAAAGAACAGATTATTTTAGTGTTTATTTGAATTCGGATAGCTCAACAGTACAGAAGTACAACTACAAAGAGTACCGAATAGAAGGCCCCGAGAACGGGAAACCAAAAAAAAAAAAAAAAAAAAAAAAAACAGCAACATCAATTTACTGATTATGCACATTGCTTGAAAGCAAATCACAACAATGATTAAGAGTTAAGCTGTCTTTTAGCCAAATAGCCAATTTGTCGCGGAAATCTGCGATAGTAGTGCAGGACTTCAGGTCGTCTGGTAAATAATTCCAAACAAGAGCCGATTTACTTGAAAAGGACAGAAAGCCAGACATAGATCTATAGCGATTGATACTCATGTTATGAGTTGTTGAGCCGCGAGTAGTTCGGGTAGACGTACAGATGGGAAAGAGGGACTGCAAGCAAACAGCCGGCTTAATACAGTAACAGTGGAAAATGAATACAAGGAACAAAAATACTGATCGATATTGGAAAGAGGAAACATTGAGGTGGTGAAGAAGTGGCGTGATATTAGCTTGGGGTGATGCACCAAAAGCAACTCGTACAGCACGCCGGTGGAGTGAGGCTAGCTTGTTTCTATTTTTAGCGGATATAAACGAAAGGTATACAGGGAGAGCATTATTCTAGATCAGGCTGAATAACACCGACAACGAAAGTACGGCGGGCAAACAGGTTCATCTGGCGGAAAGATCGGCGCAGTACATCGATCTTCCGTGAGGCTTTCCGGACGACATTGTTAATGTCAAAGGACAGCTTATTGTCAACAACGACTCCTAGGCATCTGGTGCTTTCTACTTCCCCTAGCGTAACATTTGACAAAGTGATTTGCAGTTGTTGCCTTTGTTGTTGTTGCTGACTCTCTATGGCACGTTTGGGATGGATTTGCATGACAACGGTTTTGTCGGTATTTATCTGCATGCCAAGAGCCAAGGTGGTTGTTTAGTATCTCCAGTGCCGATGACAACTTGGCTTCAGAACGCGCCTTCGACGGATCACTAGAGTAGACTGTCTTGTCATCTGCGAACACCAGTAATTTTGAACCCGCTGTCTCCGCAAGCCGGGGAAGGTCCCTCAGGTAGACATTAAAAAGGGTAGGGCCTAAAATGCTTCCCTGAGGAACTCCTCGAGACACTGCAAGACTTGAAGACTGGCTGGCTTGCGTGACGACACGCTGAGATCTCCCGGCGAGGTACGACGCAAACCAACGCAGGGCGCTTGCATGAACACCCAGATAATGGCCATGAAAAAAGGACTCAGACCATTGTCATGATGTGGACTGGGAGCTTTGTGGAAGTACAAGACAATAATAATAATAATAATAATAATATTATGCAAGGGGAATACCAAATTCACAAGCAACCGCTGAACCTTTCCGAGATGTCCTATAGTGGGCTTAGTGGCTGCTAAAATATTATTCCAACTCGACAAGAAGGGCTATGTATGGTCCTTCAATAGCTGGTGTGTGCATGTATATAACAGCCTCATTGGGCATCTGCCCTTTTTTCGGATGCCATTTTATACTCCTTCTCAAAAAAGACCTGATTATGTAAAAAATATGCCTTCAATAGCAGGTATGTATAACAGCCTCATTGGGCATCTGTCCTTGTTTATCGGATGCCTTTTTTTGCTCCTTCTCAAAAGGACCTGATTATGCCGAAAATTATGCCGGCATAATCCGCTTACCCCTAACACTCACCGAGTCTGATACATGACATTTGTCTAGATAGGTACATGTATGTGCGGGACTCACTTTTACACAGAAACACGCATAAAACGAAATTTTGGCCAGGACAAAATGAAAACTCCGACCGTAATTCATGTCTTACTTGAAAAAAGTCTTCCAAAATGAAGTTCTTATAGCAAGGGAAAGATCCCCTACTCCCGAAACACTTGTGGGTGTGGGTTCCAGTGTGAATCTATTGCGTATTGGATTGGTTTTATTTAATGTCGAAGAACAAACAGGCTGTGTTGCCTTATTAGCAGTTATTACATGTTATTACACCCCCACCGTTAGGCGCTGCATCTGCCGCTAGGGTTTATCGGGTGTTAGCGGCCGCCGTGAGTTCCCTTCGGGAACGGATACGATAATTTACTTGTTTTTTTACTTACATGAGATCGACTACAGGCATTAAATTAAAGGAAAAGGAAAAGATTAAACGAACTTAGAAGTTGCGACTTCGGCGGTAATAGTCATGAAGTTGATTGTTCCAACTAGGAACACACGCTTCTTGCCGAACTTGATACTTGACTGACTCACGACTGCCATCCGGAGCACACGAGGAGCACGTCGCACCTTCCACTCGGCAAACCTGCAAGAAAGCACCACTCCCTGCTCAATACACGGTGTTTCGGGGAATTCACCCCTCATCAGTTGAGCTTGAGTAGGCTGAGGAAGATTGTGCCTGAAAAGCACCACTTATATACTGCTCTCCAGGCCAAACCATCACTAGGGATACAAACTTATAGAGACGCTTTGTTTCCAGCGCGACAAACACCTCGTGAAGCTCCAGGTAGCAGCGTGAGTCAGAGTCTCTCATGGAGTTGTGATAAACAGACTGAACTGATGAGGGGGGAATTCCCCGAAACACCGTGTATTGAGCAGGGAGTGGTGCTTTCTTGCAGGTTTGCCGAGTCGAAGGTGCGACGTGCTCCTCGTGTGCTCCGGATAGCAGTCGTGAGTCAGTCAAGTACAGTCAGACCTCGCTTATCCGGTCCTCGTTTATCCGGATCCCTCGCCATCCGGAAGAAAAAAGCTGGTTACATATTTACAGCATACGTGATGCATCCAACATAAACGGTGTTCGGTTATCTGGTTCCCTCGCCTATCAGGATTTTTTTTGGAAAACGGATGTGTGCGGTTAAGCGAGGTCTGACTGTATCAAGTTCGGCAGGAAAAGATTTTTAAAAAGATTAAAATAATAAAGAAAAAAAGAAAAAAGAGTAGGGTTTTAAGACAGCAGGGGAAAGATTACATTTTTTGATCAGTGAGCAACGTTGGTCTGTTGATTTTCAGGTGGGATAAAAGAGCGGTCTGGAATTGACCAGGTTTCTCCAGTGATCGTATAAAGTAGATGCAGGAAACTTATTCCAGAGAGCGGGACAGTGATGGGATGGGCATTGGGCTGTGTGAGGCGGCGGAAGATGCGACCCTCGGGAAAAGAGGCAGGGGAACATTTTGTGCTCCTTGTTCGGCGGGTGTGCGACAGGGGTGTAATGAGGTCATGAAGCATACACACACACACGCACACACGCACGCACACACGCACACACACATACACAAACACAAACACACTCGCACATACCCCCCCCCCCCCCCCACACACACACCAACATACACCATGTGCCATGTATACGCCCGTCGCAAGAGAAGCACGCAAATCTGCAAATGCACTAGATGTGCACCCACAGATTTTCTCTTTATAGCAACCAGGGAGTCGTTTATACGACTCCCTGATAGCAACGATAGCGAACAAGATCTGAATGAGACAGATCAAGACTTGCACCAGATAACTGTCTAATCCACACAACTGGCGAAGCCATGTGAATCGGCCACCAATACACACCTGGTCTACACGACACAGAGTACATCGGCATAAAACGGCCAAGACAGTTACCACACACTACACTTGCTGGGGTAACCAGTATAGACAGCACGCTGCTTTGATAGAAGCAGACACTAGATGCACTGGTACCTTGAAGTGAAATTGGAGTTACTTTACCAACCAGCCTCGGCTACTGAGCACTGGGAACCCAGAGCCAACACTCAACAGACATACCAACAACCTCAGCCATGAAAGCTATTATAGTAACGACACACTGGATTGTGGAGCCGAAACTAGTCCAACTTCCAAATGCTTTGGCAAGAAGGAAGCCTTCCTACAGGTTGGCAACATACACACACACACACACACACACACACACACACACACACACACACACACACACACACACACACACACACACACACACACACACACACACACACACACACACACACACCATTGGACCATTGGACGTCCATCGCCGGAGGCGATGATAGTGATGCTACAGCAGAAGCCTTAGCAACTTGTGCTGGGATTGCACCATTCAACAGCTTGCAAGGCTGAAGAATTGACCACCACTGTTCAGCCTGGTATCCACCACACAGCTATGAAGTGGCTTTTTCTGGCCAGTGAATCCCTACTTTTGGTCTTTTTTTCTTTTTTAAAAATTTTGTTCCCGCACACACATCACACCACATACTCCGGCATGCACTGACACACACACACACAACACCTCAGACCTCAGACCTGCCCATCGCGGAAGCGATGATGGCGAACAGCTATGTTAGACATAGCAACTTGTGTTGCACACACACACACACGCACACACACACACACACACACACACACATACACACACATACACACACACACACACACACACACACACACACACACACACACACACTCTCTCTCTCTCTCTCTCTCTCTCTCCCTCCCCCTCTCCCTCTCTCTAGCTCTGTCAGTGTTTCTGTTAGTGTCCCATACTGATAGTCAGGCAACAGGCAGGAGATACACCGCACCCCCTCCCCCCCCCCCCCCCCCCCATACACACACACACACACACACACACACACACACACACACACACACACATAGCCTGTCATAGGCTACGGCCGTACCCATGGTACCAGACACATAATATTACAGTCACAGCTTCGTGAAATCCTGAAAATGCCCTCTGACTCTGGGTCTGTTGCAGTGTCGGGCACTTGATGTGAGTGATACTGACTGTGAACTGAACATCAGAAATTCAGATTCTCACCCTCGCGGCTAGACGCGTATCCAGGTATCTGCCTCCTACGCGTGCCAGTGTGATCAGTATTATGGTGTGTGACTGGGTATACTTTTAGATCTACACGAGTGCAGCCAGTTGGAAGTTCTGCGTTCGAAGTGAGGCAGATGAACTATGAAGCGTTGACCTCCACCCGGAAAATCACTAGTTCGCCTAAATAATTGTGATCATCACCAAAGTAACTTTAGGTGCGTTTCAAGTGGACCCGTCCTTTCCCTAGCCCTTTTCTGTTGCATTGTTCGGAGCGGGGCCGGTTTAGATGAAAGAAAGCAGCGGAGACTGAGTCTGTGGGCACGGTTATGGCGTGTGACATCTCCGCACAGACTTTCCTGACGTGTGCTCAGGAAGCAGTCGTGAGGTCGTCCACCCAGCTTCAAGAAAGCGATGGCAGTGGTGGCGGTGGCGTATTGCCAAGTTTGAGCGTCGGCGATGCGACGCGTGCCTTCCACGAGATGGGCCTGAACATTACCTTCGCCCAGGTGCTGGAAATGATGGCGTTCGCAATGACCTGCGATGGTCGTTATCTTTCCGGGGACCCTGTGCCAGCCGAGCCTTGCTTTCTCTTCGGCGAGTTCTGCTGGTACGCCGCACAGTTCTTGCACTGCTTTCAGAATCTGCAGTCCTCGCAGTCGGCTGGCGGTCTTTCGCCAACCAGCTCGCAGCAGCGCAACCTGCGTGCAACGCGCAAGGTGCAGCCAAGACTCGAGCATTACGGTCAGAAGAAAGCGAAACATCAGGTGTTCCTGGGTGGTGCGTGCAATCCAACTGTTTGGCGAGAGAAGACGGCAATTCCGTACCTGAAAGGTAACGGGATCACCTACTACAATCCGCAGAGGACCGAGTGGCATCCGGACCTGATAGCGGAGGAACGCACAGCCAAGAACGGCGCGGCAGTGAACCTGCTCGTGGTCGACGAAGACACGAGGGGAACGGCGTCCATTGTAGAGGCGGCGTACATGTGCGCAGGCAAGGAGGGCGTGGTGCCTGTGATCCGTATGACATACAAACAGTCACGGGAGATGTGCAACGACTCCATTGTGCTGAGCGACAAGGAGGTCGAGGAGCTGAACTACGCGCGAGCACTGCTCATCGACTACGCGGAGGCCAATGGAGTCCTGGTGTTCAACAACATCAGTCAGGCGCTTCAGTGCGTGCGCGATATTCTGGTGAGCGCGGACGGCATTGCGACGGAGAACGCTGCCTCTCTGGAGGAAAGTAGCATTCGCCTGGGATGGGAGATAGGCGCGGCGCACGAGGCGTTTGTCAGCGCCATGAAGGCGTGCGAGTCGGACGTCACCTGGACCGAGCATGACAACTCGCCCAAGTGCCGAGCCAAGCTGTCCGGCGAGCACGCACGCGAGGCCATCGTCAAGCTACTCGCGCTCGGCCAGAGCTCACTGACAGGTCACGGCAGCTGTAGAGACGTGTCGGTGCCCATAGCTAGCGTTGACTATAATCAGTTCCTCATGTACGCCACCCTCGCCTTCCTGCGCACCAAGGAGCGGAACGCGGCGGAGCAGGCGTACCGGGAGCAGGCCAGGCAATACGGCCCGGTTGCCGCTCTCAAGGCCGTCCTCTCGTTCGCCGGGCGCACGGCGATGCACGCGTACAGCATGCTGGGTGCCCTTCGACGCCGGCCCAACATCGAGGACCTGGCCAGGTGTCCGCCGCGCCGCCTCGTGCACCTGGGTGGCAGCTGCGGACGCACAACTTGGCGGGACGAGATTGCAATACCCTACCTGGAGGAGATGGACATTGAGTATGACAATCCGCAGACGGTAAGTCACTTCAAAGTAGTTGCTGTATAATACTGTCGGACGACGAAGAACTGGGGAGTCAGGCCGGTCTAGCCTAGCCCGTTCTTATTTTTAGTGAACACAGCGGTTTTCATCTCATTCGATGGTACAGTCCTACACGTACATTTAAGCAGAGTTATACGTCTGAGTGTGCATTCTAGGTTTCCGCTCTTATCTGCAAACAATCCAGCCTAGACCGATCTTAAACATGTGTGAAACTCTAGCCTGGCCGTTCTTCGGCGCCCGGCAGTACTGTAATTGTGCGGAACTTGTGTTTCCTTATCCGGTAGTAGTTTTGACAAGGATACAATAGAATTCTGAAAAGGCGCATCCTGAAGGGGAACAGGGAAAAGTAGAGTGAAACCTGTCTAAGACGACCGCTCAAGGCACCTTCAAAATGTGGTCTCGGTTACCAGGTGGTCTGCTTATCCAGGGTCATTTGGACTGGAAATAGCATCCTTGGGTTCTGGTTGCAGTGGTCTTCTTAGGCAGGTGATCGCCTTATCCGAGTGGTCGCCTTGCCAGGTGTTACTGTGTGTAGTATGCGAGTCAGGTCTTCTCCCAACATACTTCAATATGGAGGTAGACAACGATGACTCGCACAATGTCCATATAAAGCTTTTATACATCTTAGCAGAGGAAGTAAGTGGGTTGCACTGTAGCTTATTATTATGATCACTATGATGACAATGAATATCAAAATTTCACCCAAACGAAAGGAGGTGCGACCTATACTCCGATGATCAAAATAACGACGGTACACTAGGGTAGATGTCTGTATTTCATGGCAAAACAAGGGAGGGGGGGGGGGGTGAGGTGCAGCCTTTACTCCAGTACGGCTTATACTCCGGAAAATACGGTACATTACAAGTTCATTTGCATGTACGGCTGTGTGGCTGTTCTGAAACAGATAGTGGCTGTACTGCCGCAACTGCTGTGGCAATAAGGAAGCATTTTCAATTTGAAAAGCTAAAGAAAATTTACAAATAAGCGACGTGTACACTATAGTTTAATGATAGCAATGAATAATTATTAGTTCCGCGTTCATGCCACACAACAACGAAGTCTCAAAAGAGGTTTAACCGCAGTGGACTTGCTTGTCACTCTCATCAGTGGATTTTCATGACTGAAGAATAATAATGTACAGCAGAGCAATAAATGATACAATTGGAGTGATACAATAATTGTTATACAAAGTACTGAAACATGAGCAGGCACAAAGAGGTGAGATAATAATTATGAGCCATACACATTAACACAAAATGAACATTGTGTGAACTTACGAATATAACTTGGGTACTACGACATGCTTCTTTTGCCTGCACAAAACTGGCTTATACAGACGAATACAACACAGCTTCAGGCACCTGCAGTTGCTGAGCATATCGTGCGCGACTAAGTACAGTGAAACATAAATCATCATATACTTCTAAACACTTAGGGTGTGACAAAAAATGAACATACACAGCAGACTTCTTACTATCACCATCTTCATCCAGCTCCTCCGTCTCGATGTTTCCGTCATCGTCATCCCATCATCGCCGTCCGCATCACTTCCGTCAATCTCGTCATCCAATTCATCGTCGAATTCCCTGTCGATTCTATTCGTTACTTCCTCTTTGGATTGTTGTTCAGTTGACTCCGCCTTTTGACGCCTCCCTTGAACAATATGTTTGGGCTCCCCCTCAGGAACGGCAAAGGTCACTTTAGTTCCATCATTTCTAGTGTCATAGTAGTTGAAGGCGTAGTTAGCTGTTGAGTGTCTAGGTCTTTCGCACGCATGAGGGACAGTAGCGTCACTCTGTCTCCTTTCATCTACCTTGCAGTCTCCTCCGACCCGTATCGGGTCAGGTTGCAGTTTGCACCATGTCCAAGGACGTCCCATCAATTGACTCTGTTGTAGGAGATGCCAACAAGTCCACACTCAACGCAGAGGTGGGTGGTGGCTCCGGTGGAGGCAGTGGCACCACTGGCATCAGGGGTTCAATTCGTGTCACGCTCGGTATCCTTACTAAGTTAGGATGTGAGTTGTTCGCATGTGTGGTTCTCAAGGACTATGCTGGACGTTGGTCCACACTCAACGCAGAGGTGGGTGGTAGCTCCGGTGGAGGCAGTGGCACCACTGGCATCAGGGGTTCAATTCGTGTCACGCTCGGTATCCTTACTAAGTTAGGATGTGAGTTGTTCGCATGTGTGGTTCTCAAGGACTATGCTGGACGTTGGGCAGACAATGGAGATGAAAACACCACAACCGCATCCTCAGAAGGAGCTGGCAATGGAACCGACTGTCGCAATATGTGCGAATGTCGGACTGTCAATATTTGAATACATGTTACGAGTGCAATTTGAATTTACAGTATTTACAATTTGTCTTTACGTCGCACTCTTACCTAAGGTATATCCCAGGAGCGATAGGGTCCAGGTCCGCTGCCCATAGCTAAGTTCTAGGTATAGTAAGTATTTGTAGTAAGGTAGCTTGACACATGACTAGCTTCGCTCTATAATCTTGTTCTGAAATGAATTGCATGTGTGGAATTATTTGATCTCTTCGATCGAACTGTCGATTTATTTGAACTGCATTTTTCTGATTTATTTATTTCCTTTTTTTGCATGCACGCACTGGCAGCGCTCCATTGCAGCCGCGATACGCGATCGCGGGATCGCTACGCGCGTACGATGCACTTCCCAAACTGGCTGGCTTTTGCACGCAGCAAAATCATGATAATCTATTTTTGGTTTCACATTTTTTGCACACAGTACGCTGGCACGGCATGCGTACGCTGCCGTGCGAGCGAATCCTTTTTCGGAGCGCTCTGTTGTAGTGCTTCGTGTCCTTCTCTCGGTAGTTTTCTCTCTCCAAGCAGTGTTCTTTATGTGGTGAAAGAAGTGACAACGAACCAGGTCTCTCTCCCATCTTGAAGTTGTCGCGGCAGCTGCTGGCCAGCTGTCCGCGACAGTGTGTGCATGATTGTACAAGTATAAAGTGAAGTGTTTTACCACATAAAATTGGTACCGAAACCCGATCATAGATCCTGCAGCCTGTCATCATGACACCTGCTGTGGCATCGGTGAAGGCCCTCGGTAGGGCGCTTGCTGTGCACATCGATGCGTTCCAAGACGAAACACGGCAATGCGACGCTTGGCTGGCAAGTGCCAACGCTATCAATGACGACGGTAATGAAAGCGACAGTGAGTCGCACGCTAAAGCAGAGTCGACACCAACATACCGTAAGCTACGAGTATTCCTAACTGAATTTAAAGAATATGTGGACAAATTGAGTAGCCTTCTGGAACGGTATGGGATCGCGGTGTATGAATGGAATCCCGTCGATAAAGACGGCAAAAAAACAAAAAAAATGGCCTTAGAAGAACACGAAAATTGGTTAATGGACGAGTCAAGGTATTGCAAACGTTTGGCACAAATGAAGTCCATGATGGTGGACATGAAAGAACAGCAAATGGTAGAGGCTGGTCGACCGGCAGCAATCAAGCAAGAACCTGTGGAAGCGGCCCACAGTCTGCCGGTAGACACCCCAGCCATCGCAGAAATTACAAAACTGCTTGCCAGCCACACGGAAACGCAAAAATCAACGCAAGAATTGCTAAGTAAGTGTGTCAAGGGCGGTCAGTATGCCTCGGCCCTAAAAACCGTGGAGCTACCAAAATTACAACTGAAAAAATACGGGGGTGATCCGGTAAAATTCAAAGAATTCTGGGACACCTTCCGGTCCACCATTCATGAAAACAAGGTGTTGTCAAATGTTCAAAAGTTAACTTACCTGAAGGAAACGGTTAAAGACAAAGCCCTGAGTGCCATATCTGGGCTTGAGGTGAGCGATGCCAACTATGCAGTGGCACTTACAATTTTGGATGACCGTTTTGGCAATAAGCAATCACAAGTTGACGCGCATTATGTGGCATTAATTGACTTACCCGGTGCAACCCATCAAACACAATCTTTGCGCAAGTTGTATGACGGCATCGAATCACACATGCGTAGCCTGACGGCAATTGCTCAGGATGTAAACCAAGACATATTTGTGTCTCTAATCAAACGGAAACTGCCTGAGAGCACCATGCTGCAACTCGAACTCTCCAATACCAAAACGGGGGAATGGACAGTTGCAGAACTACGCAAGGCTCTAGGTCAATACATCCGGGCACGAGAAAGGGCGGAACCACAAACAACAAAACTCGATGCCAAATCAGAATCAGCAGAAAGTTTCAGACCGCCAGTCTCGCCATCCAGTGCATTCCGGGCATCTGGAGAAACACTACTTGCCCACGCAAAAGGAAACCCAAAATGTTGGTACTGTAAGGGTCCCCATTTCTCGGATACTTGCAAAAAGTTTAATGGTCTTCACGAAAGAAAAACGGAAATCGGTAGCAGATGTTTTATCTGCTTGCGGGATGGTCACAGTGCCCGCCAATGCAAAGACCCATGGGCTTGCTTCCATTGCAAGAGAAAAACACACCATCGCAGCATTTGTCCCACACTGTTTTCAAACACGACAGACAACCCATCAAGACAATCAGACAGAGCAAAGAGCCCAGGGCAAAACACAACGGCAGCACTTAGTGTTAATGCAGAGGAATTTATTCCTGCCAGCAGTGCTATGCTCTCCGCAGGAGAAAATGTAATAATGCAGTGTGGTACGACAGTGATTGCGAATCGCCATGGCAACGAATCACAGAATGCAAGATTAATGTTCGACACAGGGTGCAGTCGTTCTTTCATTACCAAGAAAATGGCAAAAGAACTCAATCTGAAATCCACGGGTCGGGAAACGTTGTCTCTGGCGGGGTTTGGTGACAGTAAGCGCAAATCGCAACAGCTCAATGTGGTTGAAATTCAAGTACAGTTTTTGGATGGGTCCTCACAAACCCTCACGGTCAATGTTGTGCAAACCATCTCCTGTCCGGTCAGAAAATACCCGATCGACCCTGAGAAATACCCAATGCTAAATCGTGTACATTTGGCG